AAAAAAAAAAAAAAAAGAAACTCAACCAAGTATTTCAAATAAAACAAACAATCAACATACATTAAAATTCAAAAACAAACACTCGTATGATTTACTTAAAATCTTAAACCATACTGATTGTCTGATTCCATACAAGCAAAGCCATTAATCAAGCTGCAGCATTCACTTAAAGTCTTAAACCAAAAACTCTTGAGGGAGAGCTTTGCCGCCCTTGTGGTCTTACCCGGCTGGATTCCAGATTAGTCGGTTCCCCTGTGGATTCGGAAACCGGAAGGTCCCTGTGCCAAAAAAAAAAAAAAGTCTTAAACCAAAAACATTAAAACAACATACTATAAAGTTCACATGCACCAAATGCATTCTGATTCCATACTGATATGATTCACTTGAACAACATTTAATATCTAAATTCAACATTGCCTTAAGCTGAAACGTTAGTCCCTAAACAGATTCAGGTTTATTGCATATTGTGGATTAAGATTGTTGTGAGCAGAGTGTTTGCATAATTTCAGTTGCCTAAATTAATCAGCTTCAGCCTTGAAGCGCACATATAATCCACGAAATTGTATTTTAATACATTTACTAGTGTTATAGTATTAGTCTCGCTCACCTGCCTACGGTGGGCAGTGCCCACCACTTTGTTTTATATGAAAAACGTATTCTGAGAATACGTTTTTCAATTAATTCTGAGAATACGTTTTTCAATTAAAATTAATTGAAAAACGTATTCTCAGAATACGTTTTTCATATAAAACAAAGTGGTGGGCACTGCCCACCGTAGGCAGGGAATCAAAATTTGTTATAGTATTGCACAAAATATAATTGTCAAATTTTGTAGGAGGGTGCAATGGGTGCAGAGCAGCTCATCCAAGGTATTGAAGCTTTACTGCAAGTTAAGCAGTAGTTGCATTTAGAGGTGAGTTCAATGGCTATATGCATATCACATATAATATTTTTGTACAAAAGAAATAAAACGAGACAAACGGGATAGTTCGGGACAAATATTCAAAACCGATACCGACATTGTTTGGAACGGTTCGCTACTGGGAACGGTACGAAAATTAAAACCGTTTGGAACCCTATTTTTGGGAACGGGACCATGTCGGTCCGGTTCGGTACCGGGATTTTGGTTTTTTTTTGTCCACCCTTAAGAAATTCGTTAGTATCTGTAAATTAAAAATGATCATTAAATAATATTTGTAAATTAAAAATATAGAAGCAAAATGTAATATAATTTAACTATAATAATTTATTGAAAATGTTATATGAAATTTAAATCAAAATTACATAAAACATGTATATTTAAAAATAGTACACAACTCGGACGGTGCACGTAACTGATAATAGATTACACTATATTCATTTCATAATAAGTGTTATTTTAAGTTTTTATTCTGAAATTCGATTTGATTACAATGTGATTTCATTAAATAAATATTTTTGTTAAATTTTATAATATATTTAAAATTCTATGTGAACTATACGTATAATTATAAAACTTATATTGTTTCATTAATTAAAATGAATTTTTATTGGTATAATTTATTCAAATAAATATTTAAGTAATTAGTAAATTATTAACTATAAATAATTGACAATTCCATTTATATCCAACTTAATATAGACCTGTGAGTTATGAATATTTACTAAACTTTTAAATTTGAAACCCAAATTTGGACTACACAATAAATTCTATTATATATATATATATGTATATATATATATATATATATATATATATATATATAGATAGAGAGAGAGAGAGAGAGAGAGAGAGAGAGTTAGGATTCAATGAGAATTGTAGATAGTGAAACAACTAAGAATAAATCTGTATCATTGGATCCATCAAGTGAACGGTCATGATCAATGTTGATGTCCAAAATCGGACGATCAACGGTCAATAAAAAATCGAATATCTTGTAG